CCTACACCTGCATCATTGAGAGCATCCTGACCAGCTGCATCACTGTCTGGTATGGCAGCACTACTGCTATGGACCGCAAACGCCTGCAGAGAGTGGTAAAGACTGTGGAGAAGATCACCAGGACTCCACTGCCCTCTCTGCAGAGCATTTATCACTGCAGGGTGCGTAGGAAAGCTGCCTCCATCCACAAAGATCCCACCCACTCCCAGCACGGACTGTTTATACCCCTACCTTCTGGCCGGAGGTTCAGAAGTGTGAAATGCAGGACCACTAGACTGAAAAACTCTCTTTCCTTGCCATCAGACCCATTAACAGCTGACTCAGGATCTACCTCATGTAATTCCATCTGTACTGTTTACATGCATAATTGCACACTCACTGCTGAGTATTTACACTCCACGGCTCCCACGTAGCATATATTCTCTCTGCATTATATTGTGTTCTTGTTGTATTTTTATTTACTTCCTTCACTTGCTGCTTTAAAGTGCCTTAGGTTTGTGTTACTGCCTATTTAGATTTGTGTTATTGCTCATCTACTTTATATTTCACTTGTATTATGTGGCATTCATGTGGGCGGCAAAGTAAGAATTTCATTGTACAGGGAAACAAGTTTCCTAACTGTGCATATGACAAACATTTTGACCTTGACCTAAAAAGCCCATTGTTTTTGAACTTTAAAAGCTGTGTCCTCTTCCTTACTGTTTGGTCCCTGATACGACCCCTAACAGGAAAAAGACAAAAGTGACATTCATACATGAAAAGGCTTATCAGCAAAATTAACAGTACAGTGTTGAGTATTGTCAACATCAGAAATAATAAATATTGCTAAAGGCATTTCAAGCACTGAATGTCAAACATTATTCGGCCTCATTGTTAAATAACTCTCCTGGAAACATGACTTTATGCCTAGACTTTCTTCAGACTTCAGTGAGGATAGTGCTTGTTAACCATCCATAAAGGCATAAATGGATGACATGACCATCACTACCATAGTACCAAGTACCAAAAGGCTGTTGGATAACTTTAACAATAACATAAATTATGATAGGATGAAGGTCACGCCAGACAAATCAAGGAGCAGGTGATTTCAATTAAAAGGTTTTGCATAGATGAGGAGGCAGCTTCTACAGTTTTAGAGAAGCCAGGTATATTATGATCAGGGATGATTTAACCCTAGCAAAGACAGGGTTTGGTCTGTCTGTTTGCCCTTTTCAATCAACACCACAAGCAACAAAGTTATCACACAACAGAGTGAAACTAAGTCAAGTTTACAAGGATAACAATAAGTATGACAAGTAGTAGTTACATGACAGAACACTGCCACCAAGAGTTAGAAATAAACAATGACATGTCCATTTAATATTTTCTCTAAAGGGTACAATGACATCATCAGTAATAAAATGAATACCACTATGCTGTAGGTCTAATGTATTAAGAAACAAATCAAAAGTGTGACTTTAGATTGGTTTAGTCTCCACAGTGAGCATTATGCTAATACTTAATTTAGTTATTTCAGGGTGAACACACTACATTAACCCTACTCAGAGTGCACGTCGAGAATAGCTTTTTAAAACATACTAGCTATTGGCTTTATGAAGCAGTTTTCAGTAGGTTATTCACTGTCAAGTACTGCTTTGCTTGTGGTTGTATGCATTCACATGATTTAAATTAGGGGGCAGAAAGTGACAGAGCCTATTTAAAATCTTCCTGTACAGTTTAACATATTTTAAGTGCCTTTTCATTTAAGATTTCACTCTAACAATAAATACCAGCACAATATCTTTTTCCTATATTGTAAATGATCTTTATTGTAAGGATCAGTACTTTCAAGAAAGTTACTGTAGCCTAATTTGTGATGAGGTGATTGTCTTCTCTATGTGCCTCTTCAAGTGATTTCAACTTGAACATTTTATTGGTAGGAAGAAGTAACAGTTCAGTGGTGTGCTTGGGACTTTTGAAAGAAGTCCAGTCACTCCTGGAAGGTAGGAAACCAGTCTACACACTGACAGTGCTTTGGAAAATCATCAGAAGTAATGTATTACTTGATTTAGTAGTATTTGGGCATAACAAAGATCTAGTAGTACTCATGTGGATGTGATGGCAGCAGCACCCTCCAGTGGTGATGTCCCCAAACTGCATTTAACCTACAGGTCGAAAGAAAAGTTAACATTCAAGAAAATAGTTTCATGATGCATGTTGTTTCTAACAAAGAAATACAGTACCAGATTTTTGAAGGACTGCAGTGACTTTGCATAATCTTAAGTTATGATGTTTAAAAAATATATCATGAAGGTACCTGTGCAGAGTTCGCCCAGGAGTCGTCCAAGTCTTAATAACATGACTGCTAGAGCTTTAAAGTGACCTTATAAAATGCAGTTTTTCTCAGTCTGCAGGCATTGCAGCTAATGATATCATAAGTTATAATTATCAATCCAAAAACAATGTATTAAGCTGAAGGCAACAATTCAAAACAGAGCACTTTATTGACCACACATTAAATGCAAAGTCAAAAGAACAGAAAAAGGGCATTATCTGATACATTACAAATTGAGAACTTGGAAATAAAGGTCTCTTTCTTTTGTGAATGCCGTGTGCTTCAATATAATTTAAATCTTTAATGTGACAAAAGTGAGAAAAATGATTAAAAATGGTCACAGTAAAGTAGGCTACTTCATT